CTCTGAGCCATTTAAGTACAACTGTTTGTGCATATTGTGCCCCACCCCATCTCCATCCCTACAAGAGTTCCCTGAGAGCTGAGTGTACTTCAGCTGAAGTCTAGCCTCAGCCTGAGCCATGGAGAACCCTAGGATGTGAATAGGTTGGGGGTTGTCCTTCACACCTCCCACTGTACCCCCAGTAGCTAGCACAGTGCTTGGCACATGATAGGCACTCAACAAACTGGAGCATTATTTTAAACATAAGAATACAATCTTGGAAATTCGTGCATGTAAAATTAATATTGAAATTTAAAGGCCCAGATGCCAAGTAAATCTCTTGTGCAATGAGTATAAATGGAGTATCCAATGTTTTCACTAATTCAGAATGTCCAACAGAAGTGCCCTGGGAGTGAACACCTCTTTAAACATTTTTTCCTATGTACCTTGCTCACCTCACCCAAGTCCCAGCCCTGGTGCCAAATATCATGATTAGTAGCCAGTATGTTCACTGGGGCAGCATTAAAAAATTTACTTACCCACTGTTTTCCCTGGGCCAAGTGCTAAGGTTGTGAACATGATAATCACAGTCATTTCCTCGAGGAGCTCCCACATGTGAAGGATACAGACGTAAATATGGCAATTTCACCACGAGAGTAGGCACTGAGATGCAAGAGGGGGCAGCAACAGCCCTGAACTCTGACGAAGGCGGAGGTGGTCACAGCAGGCTTCACAAAGGAGGCGATGCCCAAGCTATGTCTTGAAGGCTGAGGAGGGATTTGACACAAGAAAAAACAATGTGCGTAGAGGAGGGAGAAGGGGCAATGCGAATGGAAGGGCAGAGTGATTCAGAACAGCTGGATCTCCGGGGCCAGAAAATGGGTCACCTCAGATTTCTGGAAGAATGCATATGGAGGAGCTTCTGAGTTGAACACATCAAGGTATTGGGAGGGTGAAGCACCCAGAGAGGGTGTGAAAACTCTGTGACACACCCATACCTTACCCAACGCATGGCTTCCGTTTGGCTCTTCCTGCATTGTATTCTTTACAATAAACCAGTAAATGTAAAAGAAAATTTAAAAAGACAAAGAAGATAGAAGTTCAGGGGGAGGCGGGGGGGGGGTATTTAGTTCAGGGGTTGGGAACATCCTGCCCGCAGGCAGTATATGGCCTGAGAAACCATTCGGACTGGCCCTGCCAAGGCCTCACCAAAGAGAAGCAGTTCCAGCCATCCCATTAGGGGTGAGTTAATTAAATGTTTGACCAAAATAGCAGGCTGATTTTTAAGTCCATAATTTTGTATGGCCCTCGAATGATGTTATAAATATCCAAATGGTCCTTGGCAGAAAACAGGTTCCTCACCCCTGATTTAGTAAATGAATGGAGGAAGAATAGAAGGAAGGAAAGAACGGAGGGGGTAGAAGAAAGGAACGAATAAAAGAAGGACCAGATGGGAAATTGTTGCTAAGGTGACAGTAGCATTATAATATAATAATCATATCATTTCTTTACATCACCCTCAGTTCAGAACCTTTACATCCACTTATTATCTCTTTTCATCTTTATTGTGATCCTATAAGGTAAGTATCAGAACCCCCTATTTGACAGGTGGGGACCCCAGAGGTTCAGTGACAGCCCAGCATTCTCTAGCTACTTGAAGGCATTTCTTGATTTCACACTGGGGTCTTCCTGACTCTCTTCAAAAGCGGTAGCCACCCCTGGGATTCACCTGGCTGTCTGAAATCTGCATACCTGTACCTAAGAGGGTTCATAAAGGTTGGTTAAGTCCAAGGAATTTCTGAACAGTCTTCTTTCTAGCCGATTGTTAATTCCTTAAATGTTTCCCCACCATAAGGACAGGTTCATTAAGCCATGAGACAGCGCCCACTCATCAATGCGTGCTGAATTGCCGTGCAATTTCTACAGAATTAAATCACATATTCAATGAATAAGTAGAAAATGCATCAAGACTGGCGCAGCTTCCATGAAAGCCTCAGCAAGATCTGGGCCCTTGACTTCTCAGATGCTGAGTTTAAAAACTCACAATGAAATAACAAATAAGTCATCAACTCGAAAGCTTAATTTGGTATTCTGTCTCAACCAGGAAAACACGCATAGTGCCAGGTACTTCCTCAGTTTCCAAATAAGGTGGCACTCAGAAATAAGAGCCGTCCAGCTTCATTCAGCTGATACAGCTAAAATACACACACACACACACACACACACACACACACACACACACACATGCACACACACAGCCAAGCCTAGCACTTACGTTGTTCTCATAGGAACCATATGCAAGGGCAGTAAAAATAATTAAAGCTAATTTGGTCTGCCTGGTTCTGAGCACCAACAGATTGAAACTTATAACAGGATCACCTCCCTGTTCTAGAGTTCTCAAAGTGTGGTCCCCGGGCCAGCAGCAGCATCACCTGGGAACTTGTTCGAAATGCAGATCTCAGGCTTACCCCAGATCTTTTGACTCAGAAACTGGGGGTGGGATGAGTCCTCCAGGTGATTCTGACACAGCTAAAGTTTGAACCACTATTCTAGATGCATAAAACACCAAAAGAACTTGGGATTTTCCCTTCTATAGACCCAACTTTGAACCAGTTGTATGAGCCCAGGCCAGTTACTTAACTTTTCTGAACCTCATTTATTTTAAAACAATTAAAAGATTCTAAAATGAGTGCTACTTTCTTCCTAAAATTGCTGGTGGGTTCACTGAGCTGCTAGGGGTAATACCAGCACAGGGACTCTACCACCAAGAGGTATCCTAATGACCCCTCCCTTGTAGTGATTTGTCTGCTGTCCAATCAGTATCATCCCTTCCCTTCTAAGTTTATCTCCGCATTGTGCCAAAGCAGCTGGGCTCATTTGACAGAATGCCATTCCCGGCATGGTTCTGGTCCTTAGAAATAAAATATCATGGTGCTTAGAGAGACTGGGTAGCCAATGAGAGACTTTCCAGTGAGAGCTGGCCAATGAGAGACTCCCCAGTGAGGGCTGGCCAATGAGAGACATCCCAGTGAGAGCTGGCCAATGAGAGACATCTCAGTGAGGGATGGCCAATGAGAGACTTCCCAGCGAGAGCTGGCCAATGAGAGACTTCCCAGTGAGAGCTGGCCAATGAGAGACTTCCCAGTGAGGGCTGGCCAATGAGAGACATCTCAGTGAGGGATGGCCAATGAGAGACTTCCCAGTGAGAGCTGGCCAATGAGAGACTTCCCAGTGAGGGCTGGCCAATGAGAGACATCTCAGTGAGGGATGGCCAATGAGAGACATCCCAGTGAGAGCTGGCCAATGAGAGACTTCCCAGTGAGGGCTGGCCAATGAGAGACATCTCAGTGAGGGATGGCCAATGAGAGACTTCCCAGTGAGAGCTGGCCAATGAGAGACTTCCCAGTGAGGGCTGGCCAATGAGAGACATCTCAGTGAGGGATGGCCAATGAGAGACATCCCAGTGAGAGCTGGCCAATGAGAGACTTCCCAGTGAGGGCTGGCCAATGAGAGACATCTCAGTGAGGGATGGCCAATGAGAGACTTCCCAGTGAGAGCTGGCCAATGAGAGACTTCCCAGTGAGGGCTGGCCAATGAGAGACATCTCAGTGAGGGATGGCCAATGAGAGACTTCCCAGTGAGAGCTGGCCAATGAGAGACTTCCCAGTGAGGGCTGGCCAATGAGAGACATCTCAGTGAGGGATGGCCAATGAGAGACATCTCAGTGAGGGATGCCCAATGAGAGGTCTGGGCTGGATCTGGAAGGCAGGGGGAGGAGGGGCTGCCAGCTTTGGAGGCACTAGCAGCCAGGCCTGTGACTTTCACAGCAGCTTCTGAGCGGGTTCCTGAGAACCATCCATTTTTCTGCCATAGTCTCACTTTGGGTGGGAGCTTCCCTGACATTCTTGGAAATTAGAGCTCATGAGAACGTGTTAGGACGTTCAGGCTGAGATCAGCCGCGGTAGTTTTCCTGATCTTCCCTCCTCCAGCTGTCCACTCACCCCATCTGCCCCTAATTCCTCTTAGTAAAACCCTTATTCCTGGGAATCTAGAAGGCAGCTTTTGTTTTCCCAAGCAAACCCTGATTTACACATATCTGTGGCCCTCCCTTACCCGGGGAAATCTTTTTCCCATAATAAACAGAAGGACTCCACTTCCTTCAGAGCTGGGAGGATCTCCTGGTTATCTGAGGGCACCCAACCTAAATGTTCAGCTTCCCACACATGGACTTTTCTTCATTGCATGTTACACCTATTTTTGGCCTATTCTTGGTATTTTAAATAACTGCTTAAAGATCTTCTACACTTCTGAGTGTGATTTTGCTTCGAATGGAAACCAATCATCACTCTTTATGCAAATCGATGGGGAAATATGATTCAATTAACAGAAACTTGCTTAACAGTCATCATGCATTGGCTTGTTTTGTGCTTGACTTTTAATGTTTTTATAGTGTCATATGAGCCACTTTTCTCCCCTCTTCCAGAAATGATTCTAAATATAAAAGACAAGATAAAAATGAAACTTCAAATAAGTAAAGCATTTCCAACACTTCAAAGCCTTGTGATATTTTTTCTCTGGTCAACAGATACTCTCAGACTCACACAGAGGAAGAGAGTGAGCCACAGAGAGGTCAGGCATGTCGCCCGGTGTCACATAGATTGTTAGAGGAGGAACGAGCACTAGAACTCTAGTTCCCCAAATGCTCCAACAAATCCCAGGTCCTTGTTGGGTGGAAATAAATCTGTGATTAGATGCTAAATAAAATATCTGGTCCTTAGAAATAAATTCTTTATTATCAGAATTAGGTCAGAAATGCAAAAGTTATTCATTCTCTCTTCCCTTTCTGGCTCTCCCTCTCTTTCTCTCCCTCTTTATCTCTCTCTTTCTCTCTCTCTCCCCCTCCCTCTTCTGCCCCCTCTCTCTTTTCCTGAAAAGAGACTTTTTGGAATTTTGCTCATGCAGTTTCACTCAGGGATTTGAGTTCTTTGGCTAAGAGGTTTTCCCAGAACATGGGCAGGCTTCCAGACTTCTGTTTCATAATGAATATTCCTAGTGTTTTGGACTTCTAGGTTTTTTAAAGCCATGACTACCCAACCTGGCTGTGGTAGAGTTGTCGTTTCACTAAATCAATTAAGCTCTGCAATGCAGAATTTTTCCCAAAGCCAATTCGCAGAGATGGTATCAGTGAGAATATGAAGGGGGGAAATGTTCTAACAAAGACATTGGTCCCATTGATTTTCAAGTTGGGTAAAGAAAATATAACTAAAGGTGAAGTGGAAGTTGAGACATATTTTAAAATGAGGTCTTTGAACAAGATGGAAAAGAAAATCGGAATAGGTGGCAAAGATCTATATATTCATTGTTTATATGTCTTATACAAAAACTGAGTTATAAAAAGGATTGTTGCTACCCAGAAGACTACAGCTTTTCTCTTCTAGGGTTAGTTGCTCCCTCCAGGTAATCCTCTTGGTCAGTACCCAAAATGATCTCATAAATAGTCTCTCTCCAAGAGATGACCACGTCTGGTCCATAGGAAGTATAGAGATTGAGAGAAGATGCTCGAAGAAGGTATCTTTGAAGAAAGTTACTCCCCCACCCAAAGGGGGCTTGCTTTCTATTACCGAATTGTTATGCTTTACTGCTGCATAACACATCATTCCAAAGCTTAGTAGCTCAAAACAGTAAAGGTTCATGATTTCTCATGTTTCTCTGGGGGAGGAATTCTGGCTTGAGTTCTCATGACAGTGCAATCAGATGTCATCCAGGGATGCTTCACCCAAAGTCTTGAAAGGGGCCGGAGGACCCGCTCCGACATGGCTCGCTCACATGACTGACAAGTTGGTGCTGGCTTTTGGCCACTTCTTCATGTCATCTGCATGGGGCTACTTGAGGGTCCTGACAGCATGGCACCTGGCTTCTCCCAGAGAGAGCAAATCAAGAAACCAACTCCACAATCAGAATAGGTGGCAGAGATCTATATATTCTCATGACCTACCCTAGGAAGTTACACTGTCACTTCTGCAGTATTCTAATGACCACATAGGCCACCCCTAACTCTGCACAGGAAGGCATGAAAGTCAAAAGGCTAGGATCACAGGGCATCGTGAAAGCTGGCTCGCAAACATTCAGTGCACTACGTGGGACTTACGCTGAGACATCTAGAGAGGAAAAGGCTGGCTGAAGCAGTGGAGTCAGCAAGTGTCGGGCAAAGGGTAGCGGTGCCCCATGGACCAGACGTGGGCTCTCTGTGAAAGAGCCTGCTGTGGAGTCATCTTAGCCTGGAAGTGTGGTGTGTATAATGGTGAGAGGCTGACTTCATGCGCTCACACAGGGCTCTGGTCTCAGAAGGACCCCATACTTGGGTAAATGCTCAGCTATGGTCATCTTGAAATTCTTAATACTTTTGATCAAAAGGCCCAATGCTTTCATTTTTCACTGGGCCCCTTAAGCTATGTAGCCAGTCCTGACCAGAGGCAGAAGATGATCATCTCTGGGAATAAAGATGCAATTGCTGGGCCCAGGAAGTGGAGGAGAGATCCCCAATGTGGGGTTCCATGAAGAACCCATGACAGCAGGACTGTTCTCGCGCAACCTCTGAGAAGCCTGAAAAAGTATCCAATTACTAGATTTCTGTTTTGGCCTGAGTTCCCGCAAAAAGCATAGCTTAGGACAAGGGCTTGCACACAGGTACTTAGTTTTGGGAAATGACCACTGGACAGAGGAGTGGGAGTCCAGGGAGATTACAGCAGGGAGGAGGAAAAGCTGACCCTCAGTTGTATTGTTGAGTTCACTTCTCTGAGGGCAGCCACCAGGGACCCTCTCGGAGCCTTATAGGACACTCTTAGGGATCAACTTCTGAGACATGTGAAAGGGGACTGGTCTCCCTCGAAGAGCCGCCCCCACTGATTAAGCAACGCCCCTGTGCATACAACTGAAAGGCCAGCAGGTTCCTCTGGCATCCTGCAGGGTGACAGTAAAAGCACCCTGGGGCACAAAACAAAGAAGAAGCTTGTGTCTTGAAGTCACTGCTGCTGGCAATTGGTTGCTAAAGAACAGATGGGGTAAAAAGTGGGAGTGGGCTGAGAGGATGTGAGGGGCCCGCATGGCAGTGCACCCTCCACACCAATGACAGCCGGTGACAACCTCCCTGCCCTTCCCCACTCCTTCCCTGAACTCCAACAACTCTGGAGGCTCAGCTGAGGTGGGGACGGAGAACCGGCAAAGGAGAGAAGAGGTCAACTTCATTTCATTTTGAATGATATCAGATGAGACATTTCCGTTCCTCCATTGACACGCAGTTTGATGGTAAAATAAAGGCACTAGAAAAATCCTGGGGTCTGCCTGAGTTTTCTCCTAGGACCACGGGGATTAATAGGCCTCTGGAGCGGATTCAAAGGGAGGGTGTGATGGGCCAAATAAAGCTCCTTTATCCTTACCTCCCTCAAGTCATGGTTCCCAACCTAACAGAATACATTAGAATACCCAGGATGCACCTGGGTAAAACAAGGAGACAATGTTAAGGGGGAAAATGCGTGTTGTTATATGATCCCCCTTCATACCACTGACATGGAAGCCAGAACTGTGTCCATTTCAGTTGCTTTGTTCTTTCATGTGCTGTTGATTCTGCCTGAAAAACCCTCCATCATCCAGTTCACCAACCACCCATCACTGGTCAACTCAATGGGCCCCTCCTGAGCAGGCGAGGGGTGGTACTATTTATTATCATATTACCATTTTTTCTGCTTTATACCAGAAATGTGCAAAGAAATTTTAAAAATTAGAACAAAAATGACAACTTAAAAGGCATGGAGAAAGAAAAAGGAAGATGTTTAAAAGGATAGGAAATTAGAGTATGAGACTATTTAGGGCCCCAGGCACACCTTCAGTGACCGGCAGGTGCTACAGGGGAGCCACACTTGGTTCTGAACTCACCAGCAGCTCGCATGAAAAGGGACATCTGACCCTGTCCAGTCAAGGCCAAAATGAACTCTTTCTCCAGAAAAGAGTTATTCCTGGTTCTGAGGCCAGACAGACACGTGCTCCGAGGGCTCTCTAAAGAGGACATCAAGGTCCACACATTTGCCATGCATCTTGTCACTGACACCTTTTACCGTGTCCCTCTACCTGTGAAAACGCAACACGAGGAAAGACTCTCCAAGGCCCAGGTTAGTTGCCGGCACCTTGGCGCCAGCCTGTGCTCTGTCCAACCCGCACTCGTAGCACTTACCATTTGTGTGACAGTGGTTTCTACATCGGTCTTTCTCCCTTTTACTTGGTGAGCGTCTTCAGGGCTAAAACCCGCGTCTCCTTCACCCCTGTGCCACCACTGCCAAACATGCGGGTGGTATGGACACCAGCAGCACGTACGGAGCGTCCGCATAAACGGGAGAGTCACGGACGAGCGCTGTGTGCGACGCGCAGGGAAGAGGAATGAGTGGGTGTCGCTTCGTCTGGAGCTCTCGAGAAATGCAAACCATAGAGCGATCGGGTCGGGCGGCCTCTAAGGTGGAAGAAGCCAGGTCGGACAGAACACTCCCCGGGAAGGAATCACAGCACACGCAGGCGCTCTGGAGGTGTTGCGAGTTCGGTTCTAGGCCCCTGCAGTGAAGCAAATATCGCAATAAGGTGAGTGGCACAGCTTTCGGTTTCCCTGTGCATAGGAAAGTTATGCTTACACTATACTGTAGTCTACTAAGTGCGCAATAGCATTGTCTAAAAACATAATGTGCCTGTCTCAATTCAAAAAGACTTTATTGGTAAAAAATGCTAACCATCATCTGAGCTTTCAGCGAGTTGTCACCTTTTTTGCTGGTGGAAGGGTCTCACCTTCAGTTTACTAGAAATGCAAGATCTGCTGAGTGCAGTTGCGCGAGGCCTGCCTGTAGCACAGAGATCACAGCTGCAAATGCCTCGAAACTATGCCCACGCTCTTGCTGGCTATTTATTTCTCCTGGCCATTTCCCCCTAGGGCTGAGAGATAAAATTCTTTCAAAATAAAAATATCCTTAGAGTCCATCTTGAGGAAATGGAGAAGGAAAACTGTCCGCATCCCTCTCTGTGTTGAGTGGATGTAAGGCGGCGTTTAGGACGCACGGACTGTGTGAGGCGACCGCACCTGATCCCCGTTCCGTCATCAGCATTAACTCGACCCTCCTCTTCCTCACTGAGAAAATAAAATGGGGAATAAGACCCAGTCTTTGTCCCCGAAGAAGCGGCTGTCTGTTTGAATCTTTTAACAATGAGCTGGGTTTCTTCAAATTCTAGTTATTTCTTTTGTTTAAAAAGAGAAGAAGAAGGAGAAGAAGAAGAATACTGCCCTAGCAAGTTTGGCTCACTGGTTAGAGCATCGGCCTGTGGACTGAAGCGTCCCAGGTTCAAATCCAACCGAGGGCATGTACCTTGGTCGCAGGCTCAATCCCCGGCCCTGGTTGGGGCATGTGTGGGAGGCAACCAATCAATGTGTCTCTCTCACATCAATGTTTCTCTCTCTCTCAGGGCACGTGTAGGAGGCAACCAGTTGATGTGTCTTTCTCACATCAATGTTTCTCTCTCTCTCTCTTCCTCTCTCTTGCTTTCTCTCCCCCGCACCTTCCACTCTCTCTGAAAGGCAATGGAAAAAATATCCTCTGGTGAAGATAAAAAAAATACAAATAAATACATTTTTTGAAAGAATACTGTTCCTACGCACCTAAGTCAAAACCCACACCGAGGCCTAGCCCACTGCTTTTTCCCCAACGAGACCTGCCTGAGTGAAAACCAGAGACGAGGAGGGACCAGCCTCGCTCAGTTAGCCCTGGCTTCATGGTTCCCTACTCACGCCGTGTAATTCCCAGCAACTCTGTGGGCTCAGCCTTCAGTGCCCCTTTTGGGTGATCATGTTGGGGGGATTCCTGAGCTACAGAATAAAAGAGCTAGGGACAAGTTATAACAGATTCTTCATACTCGAATTTAATTAAAGAAACAAATCTCTTGCTCTCCTCACTCAGATGGGGCAGAATTCTTTTCCCCGATGCCACCGTGTTATTTCTTTACTCATTCTGGGTCCAAAGGTGATGCGCATTTTTCAGAGGAAAAGCTGGGGAATGAATTGTGCCCGTCTCAATACCAATGTGTTTTCATGAAATACACACTGTGTAAAACCCACAAGCAAATCTGAATGTGCTGTTTAAAAAATTGTTGGCTGGTTTAAAATATGCTGAGAAGTGAACCAACTACTCCCTTCTGAACACTGAAGGAAAGGCTGTTGGACAAGGTCTCATTGCTCACCAGTGGATATCTGAACAGCGTATCTTACTAGGAACATAACTCAAGAAGAGTGGCTCCCTTCTAAACCACTGTTTTTGGTTCACTCAGAAAAATATTCCTTTCAGCCTTAAATTTCTCTGCCTCGGTCTCTAGTCTGGGGACCATATCCTTTTCGAAGACTTCAGCAATTCCTGTGGAGCTGTGTTTACACTGGGCGAGTGGAAAACGAACTCCCTTTCATAAAAGTGGCATTGTTTGGAAGTCAGGTAACTCCAAGTGGGCTGCTTCTTACTTTCCATGGGAATAGCCTCGAGGAAGAAAGACTCTTTGTTGAGTTTTGTTTTGTTTTAAGAACAGTCAATTGGTTCTTTCTACCCTCCTTCTGGGGCGCCAATCTCTCCGAGGAAAACCACAAAGTTCAAGCAGAAGTAATGAAAAAGGAAAGGAAAGAAAGGATCTGTGCATAAACCCAATTTGTCATGATCTGGGTGTTTTGTGTCAGTCTTGTCCCCACCCCACCCCACCTGGCACACAGACAGAGGACTCCCACTTTAAACTCTTTGTTTTGTGAAAGCCCCACTTCTGTAGAGGGGGGCGGGGGGAGAAACCTTGCCATAAACGTCCCCTTTCTCAGAGAGGCCTGCCCTCTGACTTTCTGCGCAAGTGGCTTCTCACTTTGCACTCGCCCAAGTTGGCCGTGTTCGGCCGCCAATGAGCGGCTGAGATTTGGCCCGTTGTCGGCCCGTCTGTTTATCAGCGGGGCTGTTTCAGTTTCCTTCAAGACCAATGATCAGGTCGGCCGGTCCTTATCAGTATATTTAAGTGTCTTCAGGAGTGGACTCAACTTTGCCCTGCACTCCGGCAGCTGTAAATAGCTTCACACACATACACACAGTTGCTCCCAGTTATTATGGGACGTTTATTCTTGACCTGTGACACCAATCCAACCACAAAGGAGTCTAAGTTTTCTTTAAAAAGAAACAATATTCTGTATCTGGGTATAGATTGGGAAAGAAGGAAAAGGGAAAAAATGAATGAAGCAGAGAGTGAAAGGAAAATTAGGAGATCCGGATGGGTGAGAAAGGCAGGAAGAAAATAAAATATACTAAGTGTCTAAATGGGTTGATCCCATAGCGAGCTTTTTTATATTTTCTAATTTAAGCCCTAGGGCAACTTTGAGAGATAGGGGAAGTTATTATCTTTTCTCTATAGATGAGGAAATGGAAGTTTAGGAAGATGAGTAGCTGGCTGAAAGTTCTATGGGCAGCAATGGTGGAACCTCCCAATAATCTCGATGATTTTCAACTTTTTTCACTGAAGTAACTGAGTTCAGAAATGGAAAGCAACTTGCCCAAGATTGCCCAGTGAATCAGAGCTGGGATTCGAGCCAGGTCTGTTGCTTCAAAGTAATTCCAAAACGAAGCCTAAAACCCAGGGATTGAAAGGTAGATAAATATATACAATGAAACCTTATTTAAATACATCTCCACCAGCAGCCATCCTAGAGTCAACTGGAGTCAACTGGAGAAGTGCAGACTTTTATTAGTCAGGATAGGCTAAGCTATGCTGCAGGAATAAATAAACCTTGAAATCTCAGTGGCTTACCATAAACATTTGGCTCTTACTCAGTGTTCACGGCAGGTCAAGCAATTCTTTGCAGCTTTCTCTTGTGACTCCAGGGGATGCTACCTTGATAGTTGGTAAAACCAGTGGTTGCCAGGTTTCTCCACTGTCAAGTTACCGTTTTGGTACAGCTTGTCATGCAGCAGTAGATAGCTATTATATATTACGTCCTCATGTCAGCCAGGTCATCCTCTATAGAGTATGAATTAAACAAGTTAACTAGGTGACAGACTTCAGGCTTAACATCTCATTTCTTAAGACACGGAGTTAGGAGATAGTTACCATCCTTGCTGTATGGAGAGCCAGGCACACAGAGCTTGGAGTCACAGAGCTATGGAGTGAAAGAACAGGCACTGTTGGATCCCAAGCCCAAGCTGGCAACTACAGTGTGCAGCCCCCACTCCTGGCCATGTTATTTCTCACCGCCCAGCCCCCACTCAATAACAGGCTCAGTTCTGAACACTGGATAGTGCCTGATGGAGACGTGGGTGCCCCAGGGACAAACTCTGAGCAGCATTTGGTCACTGAGGCTCTAAATTAAAAACTCCAAATACCCTTCACCTTCCCCAGTGGAACTATTTCCATCATTGTTATTCCAACACCCCCTCGCTCAAGAACTACAGTTGCTTAGAAGCAAAACATCAGGGAGTAAGGTAATAAGGCTTTGAAATTACTGACATTATTCAACCCCATAGCTCTAGTGGAAGCGTTTACTGCTCTCCACCCTCCCCCCCCGAGAGCCAACGTCTCCAGTTCACCACTGAGGAACCAGGAGAGGTGTGAACATGCAGAATCCTACATATCCCCGGCTGGAAAGGCTTTCCATGCAGCCAGTCCAGTGCTTTCATTGCACAGATGCAAAAAGGGAGACCCAGAGGGTCAAAGTGACATCCCCAGTGCTAACTGGAAACCTAAACAAGCCAAAGTGTTTTTCTGCCTAGGACTGCACTTGACAATGACATTGGGAGGCAGTAGAACACATATTGTTATTTTCTGGAAGAGAGGCTGAGTTAGAAAATCAAGGGCACCCTGAGTGACTAGGCAAAGCTGGGAAAAGGACTGGCTTCTGACTCCTAGAAGCCAATCATGTCGACAACAAGGACGCTGTCTTATCTAGTCTGACTCCAACTCTTTAGGTAAATCATGACTCCTCTCAACCTGCTTTCTCTTCTATTAAAAGGAGTTAAGGACTGTCATACTACAGAGCGGCTGAAAGAATGAAAAGGAAATAACAGTAATCAAGCTCCTTGGTATTTACCCAAAGGAGCTGAAAATGTATGTCCAGGTGAAAACCTGCACCGGATGTTTCTAGCAACTTTCTTCAGGATTGCCAAAACGTGGAAGCAGCCAAGATGGCCTTTAGTAGGTGAATGGATAAATAAGTTGTGGTACATCCAGAAAATGGAATATTATTCAGTGCTCAAAAAAAAAAAGAGCTATGAAGCCACGAGAAGACATAGAGTGAACCTTTTTTAAAAAGTCAAACTGCAAAGGCTAATAGTGTATGATTCCAACTCTATGACATCATGGAGAGAGTAAAAATATTAGTGGTTGTGGGGTGAGGCATGGGGGAAGATGAGTGGATAGAACACAGGGGATTTTTAGGACGGCGAAAACACTTTGGATGATACCATAGTGATGAAAACATGTCATTGTGCATTTGTCCAAGCTCATAGAAGGTACAGTTCCAAGAGTGAACCCTAAGGTGAACTATGAACTTTGGGTGATTATACTATGTCAGTGTAGGTTCATCCTTGGTAGAAAAGGTATCATTCTGGTAAGTGTTGTTGATAATGGGGAGGCTGTGTATGTGGGGGGCAAACAGTATATGGGAAATCTCTGTGCCTTCCTCTAAATTATGCTGTAAACCTAAAACTACTTTGAACAAAAACAAAAACAAGTCATCTTAAATTTTTAAAAATTTAATAAAATTTAAAAAATTATGTGACAAGCTCTTGATGCAGAATTTAGCATATAGCACATGCTTCTTGAGTGATAGCTGTTCATACTATGTTTTTTGTTCCAAGTCCCAATTTTTAAAATATATTACTTAGTAGAGTGTCTTATTAAAGGGACTATGATTGACTCCCTGGCCTCCATTCAACTCTCTGCCTTCTTTTTTAATTGCAGGAAAAGTGCCACTGTAGAGACAGGACTCTTGTTTGAGCTCTGATGTCGTATTTAAGTGATTTGTTCACAAACGGTGACCTGCTCATTCAGGCACCTTGTTTCATGGCCCAAATTCTTTCCAACTCATTCAGCTGAGATTTAGCCAATTTCCTAAAGACGAGCTCCAAACATTGCTGCCTGGGACAGAGATCCCCGTTTTGACCCTCAGTGTCAGCGAAGCGCTGGTTTTTTATCATTCTGATTTGCGGTGTTCCTGTGGGCAGCTAAAGGAACACAATGCGCAATCCACGGCAAGAAGGCCTTACACCCAGGTGCTTCTGAGTCTGTTCGTCCAGTGGTCCTCGCATCCATCCTTTCTCCTGATCTATCCCTCCACTTCCATAAGTTATGCAATCCCACCCCTCAAAAATTCTTACTCATCAATGCATTTTATGGCAAAAGGGTTTTTTGTAGCTAAAAGCTTTGGCTTCCAAATTTTATCTTATGTCTTTCCTGGGCCATCCAAAACATTTCCACGAACTCAGTGGAGTATGGGTGAGGCTAAGTAAACGTTGGTTGAAAAAATGTCTAAATATTAACAGTTAACAATTATCGAGCACTTACGATGTGCCAGACAATAGAAGTACATTGTGTGCATATTCTCATTTATTCCTGCCAAGAAATCTATGAGCTAGGTATTACCATTATCCTTATTTTCAAAAGGAGAAGATTGAGGCTCAGAAAGCCTGAGTAGTCCAGATTTATAGAGCAAGAACAGCAGAATTTGAATGTGAGGGCCTCTGTTCTCTAACCAGTACACTGCCCACTTCATAAATTCTGAATATAATATACAAGTGAATGGACAGTTAATAAAAAAAATCCATTTATTTCTTTAGATTCTGACCCTCAGATGACTGACTAAGTGAGGTCTATTGACCTTCCATGACAACCATATCTTCTGCCAACTTCAACTGCTTCACTTGATTGATATCATTCAGGGACCCAAGATTGGCTAACTCTATTTTCAATGAAAATTTAGTGTTTTTAAAAAAAATCTGGTCTACCACAATGGACCACATTTTCTGAGTGACTATCCATCTAATCATAGCCTGCTCTCTTCAGTTTGAAAGTGTCTATCCCGCCCTCTTCAGAAGGTGTGGATTTGAATCCGAGCTCCATCGTTCACTGTTTGATCCCAGGTGAACTATTTAACCTTCCCTGCAAGATGTAAATAAAAATGGCATCCATCTGATTGGGTTGCTTCAAGGGCTAAATAATTAACACACGTAAGTGCTTGGAGGAAGGTCAAAGGATGAAATCTGCCCTCTATCCTCAGCGTGTCTCTGGGTTTGCACTAGTGGCCTCATCTGGAGACAATGACAGAGTGGACCAAATGGTCCTCCAGCCCACCCCCAGTTCCATGTGGAGATTTCACACAGAAATAAAATATCCCACCAATAAATTAAACTAAAATGAAATGTTTGAAAACCTTCGGCTTCCCAGTGTTTGCTGAGGCTCCTCCAATGGCATCGTTCTATACCTAACATTCTGTCACCCACGTGGGAAGCTGTCTCCAACAGCTCTTACTGTCCACCTGCAAGGTACAGGTCCTTTTATTGCACTGCCAGGTGTAGCCGTCATTTCCAGGGGAGCAGGCCTCTATTCTGATAAGACACAAAAAATGAGCTCTGGAGTTATAGTCCAGCCATATGTCCTTCCGCCTTATCTGCAAGTCCCATTATCAGCAGTTTTATTGAGGCTGTTCGGGCCGCTTCGTTCGCTTATCCTCACCAACAAATGCTCTCATTCAGTCTTTCTTGGGCTCATTTGAGAAAGTGCACTAATAATGTAGTATCTATATTTTTAATTGGCATATCAATTAAGATGTGCTTCCCCTGTTTGTGTAATTATTAGATTTGTCCCCACTGTTAATCAAAGAAATGCAGATTTAAGCAAAGATTCTTTTAGAATGATAGTAAGCTCAGTGCTGTCCCTGTCATGTATATTTGGGTCAGTCCAACTCACAGCAACATCTTCTTTGTGCCAGTGCTTTAGGAATATATATCAAGGGCCTTACTGACTCCATAATTCCATTTCTGAGACACTACCCTAAGGAAATATTCCTAAATATAGAAAAAAGCTTTATGACCCAAGACATTAGCATCGGTGTTATTTCTCATAACAAAGCAATGAAACAATTCAAACACTTTTTAAAAGGAAATAGTCCAATGAGTATTTTATAATCACATAATGGAAAATTTTGTAGCCATTTGAAGTTAGGTGCTCAATTATGCCAATGATTTTCATCATACAGTGTTAAGTGAAAAGAAAAGGCAGATTACGAATGTACGTATGTAGCATAACTACAGGTGCATAAAACAAAAATCTTTTGTTTTAAATAAAGATGGAACAATATAAAGGCACTAGTGAGTGAATGCTTTAAGGTAAGTCCTCAGTGCTGGGAGAGCACTGTCCAGAGTTGGACTGGAGGGTCCGGGGAGCCTCAGAGAACCTGGAAGCTGAACAAGCGTTAGCCAGGGAAGCGCACATGCAGAATTCCTGAACCAGGAAAAGTGCGATCAACAGGAACTGCCGAGGCACTGGCTGTTAAGTGCTAACTGTATATCAGATGGTCTTTCCCTGAGATTCACACTCCTCTCCAGAACCAGGAACTAAAATGTCCTTGTAGATAATAGGGATTAATTTCACCCTCTGCAAAGAAAGCCTGCAACCAAAAGTCAGAGCGTGGCATGTAATAGGGAAGGCTGGTGATACTGGCACCTTCCTCACCAGGTTGTAGTGGAGCAAAGAGTTACGACACTTAATGTACTTCAGACAGGGCTGGCCAGTGGCCAAGAAGCGCAGGAAAAGATGCTCAATATTACTAGCCATCAGGGAAATGCCAATCAAAGCCACATTGAGATACCACTTCACGCCCCTGACAAAGATAAAAAGACAGATAACAGCAAGCGTTGGTGAGAATTTGGAGAAACTGGAAGCCCCATGCACCGCTGGTGGGGATATGAAATGGTGCAGCCACTATGGAAAATAGTTCAG